ACAAGTTATGGGTCGAGATTTTGATACAGTTTCATTAAGAAATAAAAATAATTCATCAATATTTGGTGTATTTGGCCATGGTGATTGACAAATCTATGATAAAATAGATCAAAATATTCTTTCTAGAAAAATTTAAATTCAAGTCGTTTTATTTTTTTTTTAATTTTTTTTGATACCTGAAAAAAATGTCCAATTCGATCCATATAAGTTGTACATTGTTCAGGATGTTGTTCATAAAGTAAAATAACTTGTTGTTTATTATTCCATAAATAATTTAATGTACATTCAGTTATTTTTCTTGCTGTTGTACAAAGTTTCTTTTCAAATATTTCATGTACAAGATGTATTAAATGATCATGACCACATTGATCATTAAAATCATAAAAATGATTAAAATCAAGTAAAATTATTTCTTTTGTATGCTTATTTAAAAATTCATTGATTTCTTCTAAACATTCACGAACTAAATTACCTAATAAACCATGTGTAAATGTAAATGGTGATTTTGAATATAAATTTGTATCTGTTGTACGGCAAACACGTAAATCAAAATAACGAATACCCATATATAATTGTTCTATTTAAATGAAATATTGAGGCAAAAAAACAAAATTCATTTTTGTTTTTTTAGATAAAATTTTAATACCGGTAAAAGTTTTATCTTGTGTAAGACTCCAATTCCTAATAATAGGATAAATAAAAAAACAAATACGTCGTAAATTTGTATCTAAATCAGGTCCAGCTTGTCTTGTTAAATAATATGCAAATGAATCATGTGTACCTATATTATATAAATGAAAATCGATTTTATGATTTATTAGTTATTACTACCAGGTATAGCGATTTTAGTAATGGGTTCATCATGAAGATTTTTTGGTAAATTTGTCATCCATTCCTCATGTTTTAATTGTGATGATAATTGAGAATTGTTTGACGTATAACTACTCGTCGCCATAATATGATGTTGTTAGATTAAACAAATATTTATCTGAATAGAATTATTTTTATCAAAAAATTGATTTGCGAATGAATGAGGTTTTATTTTAAAAAATATATATATATATACATAGAAGTGTCTAATTAACTCGGATACCCAGTTATTATTTTTTTTATATGGCCTTAATCACATATCGGAAAAGTACGGTGTTTGTATCAGCTATAGTACATTCATAATGTTAATCATTTATTATCATTCGGACTTTGTCTCATGTAAATTAAGAGAGTTGTGAGTATTGGTAAAATACGTTCTAATCTCTTCTGAGAGACCGTTTTACTTGAGATATATACTGGCTGAGAGCGTTTGGAATTCTGAATCTACTGTATTCTACATTGATCCGAAATTTTAACAAAATAAATGTTTTGAAAGTGAAGTTAAATGTTGTAGCTCTACTACACATTTTGAAGTGATTAGAGCCGTCAGGTATTTACCACAACTTCCATTAACGTCATTTTTCGAAACATTTATTTGTTTAAGCTTTTAGCTCAGAGCGTATTTTACTAATACCTGAGATTTTTTTTTGAGATCTTTTTCAAACTCGTTTGACCAAAGATGTATCTGTGAATAGAAGATTCTAAATCTCGATAAATAAATTTTTTTATTTTTCAGAAATAGAGTGTGAACAACAACAAATGATCAACATTATGGAGAAAACAAAATTGAGACTATATAAAAAACACCTAATAATTCGAGTATCCTGGCTGATTGAACAGTTCCATATATATTTTTTAAGTCTTCACATCAAATATTCTTATTTAAATTTAGGTACACTATGATCATTTGTTTTCGCTTGTTTCAATTTCGATAAATTAAAATCTAAAATTGAATTTAATAATTGTGTTCGAGCATCATTGACAACTGTCGGTTGAGGTGAAGGTGATGTTTCGGGAATATTAGGTATATTAACACTGATGTTTGGTGATACAGGTTTGTTGGATATTGTTGTTTCTGTTGTTGTTGTTGTTGTTGTTGTTTGTAATGGATCAACAGTAATTGAATATTGAAGACTTTCTATATAAAAAGAAAAAAAAGATGTTTCATATAACAAAAAAAATATATGTAGCAGTAAAAAGCTAGTTGATAAATGAAGAAAACCTTAACCAAATATTAGCTAATAATATCTCTTATTGTTATAATAAAATAAATTTATAAAGAAATCGAAGGAAGGAAATTGGTGATGAAAGCATAATTGAAATGTTAATGGGATAATATTATTCGATTTTCTTCTAAGGGAAAGGGAGCGTATAAAAGACCAAATCGGTGTACTCGTACTTTTTTTGGTCAACTTCATTGAATCATATATCAACAGAAAGAACATACTGAAGTCAACATTTTGGTGCTAATTTCATGAAATTTTACTCGAATTTCGAAGTCTAAAATCTAGAAACAAAGTAACGTATTTTCGCTTATTATTCTAATGATCCATCCTATCAGGATAGATTCAATTTAAGAATAAGCAAACAATACAAAATACTACTCAAATTATGAATTTTATAGCTCTTTGATGATGCTTTAGTCCTATATATAACTCATCGTTTAATTTAATGAGATATAGATGCAATGTACTGGTAGATACTATTAACATATTTACTGTATTTATCATCAATTCTTATCTTTCAACAAATATTTTAATTTAAAAATTGAAATGACGAAAGCTCTACTGCCAATTCGATAGCTACTTTTAAAAAGTTAGAAAATCATATATTTCGTAAAGTCAAAAAAAAAATCTAGCTGCTTAAAAAAATTCCTTCAGACACACTCTTCGCTCAGCACCGTTTCGCATTTTTTTTTTGATTAATGGTTAGAAGATTTCTATCAGAAAAAGTTCAATTTAAGTGAAAACTAATGTAATATTCGAAATCAGCGTAAAAAGCTGAGTTGGTCTATGTAGGATTTAAAAAATTTTTGAAACTTTTGTTTTCATCGAAAATTCTACTTTTGGTCCTCTTCACGGAACAGACGAAAAATGAATTGCATCAAACCACTATTTGGACATTGTAAAGAAACCTTGAAAGTTATTAGCTGGCAAAATAGCGAATATTTAGAAGATACAAACAGGCTTTACATTGGATTCACTTGTTTGCCTGGTTCTTGAGAGGATCAGGAGCAAATTTGTCGATGAAAAAAAAACAAGTTTCAGATATTCTTTAAATCATACATAGACCAACTCAACTTTCTATACTGATTTTGATCGTTTCAATTTTTAAATTAATATATTTGCTGAAAGATAAGAATCGATGGCAAATACAATAAATATACTAATAGGGTCAATCAGTACACCGAGCATAGTCTCATGAAATTAAACAGTAATTTATGCACGAGATTGAAGAATCATCAAAGAATTATGAAATTCATAATTTCAGTAGTATTTTGTCTTATATAATTTTCTCAAATTGAATCCATCACGACAGGATGGATTATTAGCATAATGCACAGAAATGTATTACTTAACTGATAGCTTTTAGGTTTCAAAACCCTACCAAAACCTCATAAAACCAATAACAAAGTGTTGGTCTCAACATACTATTTCTATTGATATATGATTCAATGGGCTTGGCCAATTTAGATTCTTATATGCTCTCATCCTTTTATTCAGCATTATTTCAAAAGAACTGTTTAAACTTGTAAGTGTTAGATGTTTAAAGCAGTTTTTCTAATAAAAACATACTACGGTTTATGTACAATTATGAGAGAAAATTAAACTACATTACCCCAATCAAAAGATATCTTCACATCCTATTTTTCAGTGTTATTTGTGCACACTGCATGAAAGAATAAGTTAAGATTTTTGTATTCCTCTATCAAACAACATACTTGATGTATCTGTAGTATTCAAACTATTTTCCATCTTTTTTTCAAGTGCTTTAGCCTGAAAGAAAAATAATATGTGTAGATTTGAAGTAAAGAAAAAAACAATTGTTAAATATTAACTTGTCTTTCTCGACGTCGTCGAAGTTTTTCTTCGTCTGACATAAGATGATTAGAAATTTTTAAATGACGTTGAGCAAATTTAATCTAAATAAATTGAATTAAAATTTGTTTTTGTTTTTTTTTTTATTTTAATTTAATTTAAAATTACTTTTATTTGATCGTTTTCTAATCTTTCTTGAGCTATTCGATTAATTTGTTCAAATGCTTCTTTTGCTTTATTATTTAATTTCAATTGAAATCGTTCGAAAACACTTGATAATGTTACTTGAAAAAACCTAAGCTATCAATTTGTTGTTTAATAGAAAAATACAAACAAAAAAAATTTATAACACTACGGTTCATTTAAAAGTTGTTCGATTGTCGGTAAATTTCCTGATGATATAAAAATTTTTGAAAGAATTTCTTGAACAGGAAATGGAATTATAGATGGAAATTCTGTATATAAAGTTAATGGACATTCTTCACCGGTTGATAATTCATATAATAAACGTCCAAATGCATATATATCACATTGTTCAAATGTCTAAAAAACAAAGATTTATATTATAACTTTCAATATTCATTTGTTTTGTTATTATTTACTAACATGAATATATTTAAGATTAGAATAATGACGCCGATATTTTGATGATACACCGGTTATAACATTAGTTATATCAAGTAATTTTATAGATTGAGATTGTTCAAAATCAAATAAAATATTTCCTGAATGTAAATGTCCATAAACAAGATTATTTTCATAGAGAAAATAGAGTGCTTCTAAAATTTGACGACCTAAGATTTTTATTTGATGTAAATCACATTGTCTTAATGTCGATGTTGGACCATATCGTTTCCAATAAACACCATTAGCTGGTTTTGTCTACGAATAATTTTCAAAAAAAAAAAAAGGATAATATTCAAAACTAATTCAATAGTATAAAAGTTTTGGCACAAAATATTCGTTCATTTTTCGAGCCACTAAAAAACAATTGATTAGAATTAATTAGAATCTATGTTTAGATTTTTCATTTAAGATAAGAATGAACAACTATTAGTAAATTTTGTGAACTAGATTCATACATTATAATAAGACTAAAAAACTTAGTGAGTTTAAAACAAACAGAAACATTAGTCAGTCTACCATTGAATTAGGTCAGAAAAAAATGCCCTATTGACAACTCGAGTTTGATGAAAATAGAGAAATTGAAGACGTCGAAAAGTCAAATGTTAAAAATGAAAGATTTTTAATAATATTAACAACAAGCAGAATTGTATTCTATCGTATGAACGTAGACAATAGAAAAGAAAGAGTTAAGTTTATAAATCATAATTTCGTTTTTGTGTGGGGTACAATTTATTTTATCTGCCTATTTTCGTCAATCCGAACATTCTCTGATCTGTACAAAACAAAATAACAGTTTTGGCGTAGTCATTAATTTGTATGTTGAAATAACTTCAACTCAACATTTTATAGTAGCGCACCAAAATTCTGTACAAAATGAGATATTACAATAAACGAAATTTTATCTATATGTTTCTACTAAAGAGTTAGTTTCTATGGAAATCAGGATTAAAAAACAAACTTGTTTTTAAAAACGCAAAAGTAACTAGCATGCGTTGTAACTGAGCCATTAAAAACTGTTTCTCATTTTGAATTTGATAGACTTAAATTGAAATCCGAAATTAATTAAAATGATATTCTATACAATCATTATTTTTGACCTTGTAAAACAATCTAATGATAATTGTTCAATCTTACCTTTCGAAAGAAAATTCTGAACACATATTCGGAAAGAGCGAAAAAATCTAATTCTAATTAACTACTTCTGACTCTAGATCAGCTGTTTTTAAGTAACCGAAAAATGAATGAATATTTTGTGGCATAAGTTAATTACTCGATGAATATAATCTTTTAATGATCCTCTATTATAAAATGGACAGATAGTCAATGTACCACTTTCATTTGCATAAACTTCTTCAATTGGAGCAATCAATGGATGCTTTAAAAAAAAGATATCATAAAAATTGTTCGAAGTAAAGAATAGATATATATACTAAAATTGATTTAATTAATTTTAAACAATTCATAGTTTCTTTTTCTCCAAGTGCTTTATCTAAACCATAATGACACTATAAATAAAAATTTATTTATTTGTATTTCTTTTTTTCAAAATGAATATTCATTACCCATATTAATAAATAATGTTCATTTTTTGGACATCCAGTTTTTGATGCAAGAAAATAACTTTTATTATATCGCCATCCTTTAAAAACATAAAACAAAGAAATAATTCAATTTGAAATATTAAAAATTATTCTACCAAAATCAAAAAGTGGTTCAATTATTTGATATCTATTATTCATCGAACGAATATACATTGATACATATTGTAATGCTGATTCTAAAACAAAAAATGATTTAAAAAAAAAAAAAACTTTTCTTTTTTGGTTTCTTCTAAAATACCAGGATAATTAATAATATGATTTTCTGGATCAAGAAAACGATGAACTAATAATGAATTACAAAGTTCTACATGTTGAACGAGTGTATTAAAATATGTCTAAATTATTTATAATTATTATTTCGAAAAAAATTAATTTCATAACATACTTGAAGACCTTTTTGTCTTTCAGCCATAAATGTTCGATCAGTATTACCAAGAAATTTTTTCTTTGGTAATTCAAAATTAAAACCATATTCTTTTAATGCATTATTAAGATCAACAAATTCTCGAAAACGTTTTGTTATTATCCATGAAGATAATGGATCATTTAGTATACGTGTAACACGAATAGAATATTCCTAAGTTAAATTTTAAAATAAATATTAATTAATAAGAAAAAAAAAAAGAAAAAGAAACCAATTTCATTTCTTACCCCATGTCCATCGACAACATATGAACTTTCAATAATACATGTCATTGGAAGTGTTGCATCGACAGGTGATTGTATATTGGTGGCTCTTTGGGGAACAATTAAGAGAGCCATTTTTATATTCTAATTTTATACCATTTGTCTACAAATATAAAACATTTAACGTCATTTGTTTTGTATTCTCTTTCTATCATTCTACTCATGTTGCGTTAATCGAAGTAATGGAAGAGAAACAAAGATAAAACAAGACAATAAATACATTCTAGTGTTCTTATATAGAGTGGGCGACATGGTAAAATGAATGTAATAAAGAAAAAAAGGAAACATTTTCTATTCCTTTTTGGTGATAACGTGTGCAAAATAATGTTTAACGTATGTCTCTAGCATTAATATTTTATGAACAAACAAATAAATCATAGAAATATCGTAATAAGTTTATATATATAAAATCTTTTTTCTAAAAATAAAACCCGCCCTATTATTCTCATATTATTATTTTTTTTTTTTTTTTATTTTAATCATTTATTTATTGTCCTCATGGGTCCAATACGAAACACTCGTAAGAATGATCATTTTACATTATCCACCAATATCAATAACTCAGAAAGAGATAAACTTGATCTCTATTCTACAATTGATAAACAATATTCAACAGATAAAATTCAACGAACACCAAGTACAATCAATAATATGTCTACTAAAATCGATGAAGATAATTCTGAACATGATGATTGTTTTATTAAATATAATTTTGTTTCATCATCTGAAGAAAAAAATCAACGAATAAATGAAAGAAATCGAAAAGATGAAACATCTAAAATACAAACAGAAGAAGAAAATCAAAATGATCAAGATCAACCAGCATATTTAGTCGAAGAAATCAATACTATAACAGCACTTATTATTTATGATATTTATTCAAAAAAACATCGATTTAAATTTCATTCAAAATATCAAGTAAGTGAAATTTCAAAGATAAAACTCTATGATAAAAATTTATTAACAAATATCTAGGTTACATCTCCAAATTATTTTTTTGATAATATAGATCGATTCGATTCTGTTTACTCATGTTTAATTGATAAAATATTATTATTAAAAAATAAAAATTTTAAAAAATCTAATCTTCTACAAAATTCTTTACGTAATCGTTTTCTAATTCTACCAAATGTAAATGAATTAAAAAATTTTCAACAAAATGAACAATTACGTGTTTATAAAGAAAAACAAGCAGTTCTTAATCGAGTACCATTTATTCCAAATATTTTATCATCTCAACGAACATGTCCTTATTATAATTTTGATGAAATGAAAAAAATTCGAGATCAACTTAGTTAGAAGAAATCTAAAAAGAAAATCAAGAAAAAGTCATTTCTTATTGTTGTCTGAGTAACCATTAAATAAAAAATAAAAATCTTAATTTCTTTAAATCTTTAATAGTAATTTGTTTATTCTCTTCTTAAATACCGAGTTTGTAATGAACGAACGATTAATAACAAGAAAACAACGACAATTAGATAATAAGAATAAGAAAATAAATAAAAAATTTTTTTTTTATCTAAATAATCTATCAAATTCATCTAATGAACAACAAATATCACTTAAACGTCTTTCAAATAATTCAAAATTAAATAAAAAAAATCGTTTAACAGATTTATTTTTTCCAACTCGTTCACGTATTAAACTTCGTCAATCTCAATTATCTTCAAATAAACAAATAAGTTCACCTTTAAATGAACAAGTTGCTAAATTAAATCAACGTGCTGTTGATGTTCGAAATGGTATTGAACAAAGTCTATCATCATTACATACTCAACGTTTACAATATTTAACAAATTTAAATGAAAAAACACATGATCTTGAAAAAGCAGCTGCAGCATTTGAATATTCATCATCAAAACATCTTGAACAAGAACTTAATAAAACAAAAAAATTATCATATATATTTAAAATAGCTATTACTATATGTCTTACACTATTTTCATTTATGATTGGTTATATGATTATTCAACTAACACAAGATAAAGGAACAGTATAATTTGTTAATTTACATATTTTCTTCAGTCAGATAGGAAAATTTGAGGATTATTTTGTTGTTTTTTTTTAATATGAAAAAAAAATAATAATAAATTTTTAAATCCTTACTAATCGACATTAAGGGTATAATACACAAAAAATAATACGAGAAGAATAAATCTGATTCAAAATAAACCTTCTTTCCCACCTACAAAGGATTATCATCTAATCAAATAAAAATCCTAAGTAATCAATCCCTACTTCACCTTTTCTATAAAATTAAATCATGAAATAATAATACATAGATCATTTCTTGAAATATTTATATTTAAGGATAGATATAATAAGACAAATTCGCTTATGCACACACACACACGTACGATTGAACAGAGAAATGTACATGAAACAAACAAGACGTACACAAAAAAAAAAAGAGATGCGCTTTTTCTTCTACAGAAGATTAAATTCAATTTTATTCATTTTTTTTTCTCTCTGGAAAACTCGTCGTACATAATTTTCCTTGATAAACTGCGTTTTTTTTTCGGAATGTTCAATGAACGACGCATAAAACAAAATGTTAACGAAAAAAAAACAATGAGGATTATAGACAAAAGAAAAAAAGAAAACAAGATTTCCAACGATGATATTCTTCTTTAACTTTTTTTTTCCTTTTTTTTGTACTGTTTTTCGCCCTGACACAAACAAGAGTATTCTACATAGTAAAAAAAAAGAAAAGGAAAAGGAGGGGAAAGGGAAAAATATCTCCTCATTCAATGAATCCACACTAAAAAAAGAAACAAGAACACAAACTAAGTAAATGAAATGAGATTTTTCTTATCAGAATGTTTTTATATATATATTTGTATGTATAATTTTATGTTTAGTAAATGTTCATGAATTATTAACCAATGCCACCATAATGATTGTAATCATCATTATTTGAACTATTAGGTGTTTTATCAAATTTTTTTACTTCTTCTTGCATGGATTCTTTTAATTTTAATATAGCATTTGTATCATTTACTTGATCTTCACCATAATTAAAATTTGCTACATCAGTTGGCGGAGGTTGTGCTTGTTGTTGTTGGCTAGGTGATTGTTTCATTTGTGGATCATAATCACCTAAGAAATATATTTTGTTTTGTAAATAGAAAAATAAAAATCTATTTTAGCGCAATCTCTACAGGATTAAACTATGAAACATGATGTAACTGCTGTTAATAATCACAAGAAAGTACTTTATTCTAAGCTATTGTTAGACAAATTTCTTTACTATCCTTGTACTTGATCTTCCAGAAATGCAATAAAGAAGTAGTTCATATATTAGAATAAGATATTATTGATATACACTCTTTGATCGTATATCAACAAAGTCTATAATGGTCTCTGATTAGCGTAAGACACTAGTTATGGGAAGTTCAAATTTTTACTCCTATACTTCAATACTCCTTCAAGCTTGTCTTTCACAAAATTTATTTAAATAAATACCATTTATTGAACCATGATGAGACATATCAGGTGGCATTGATGACATATGAGTCAAATGTGGATCGTGATACTTGATAAAATAAAATGATAAAATATGTTTGAATAAGAAGAATTTTGTTTACCATTGGATTAGGCCCTGGAGGCATTCCACCAGGTATATTTCTCATACCATAGGGTGGCATTTCTCCACCATTTGAATCTTGAGGACTTGGCATCATTGGTGTTGTTGGTGCATGACCTGTTGGACATGGAGTCTAAATGATGTGTATATTTTTTATTATACATGAAAAACTTTTTAGCGTAATTGCTACAATCGATTAGCTAGTGAAGAGATAAAGAATAGAATCGAAATATGTGGAACTAGTATTTTATGTCTGATAAAGATACGCAATATTTTACAAAAATATATTTTGAAATACATACACCATAAGGAACGGGTGACGATGAAGAATAACCTCCAACCTAGAAATATAAAATAATTAATTGAAATAAATATAATTTAATTAAATTTACTCCTGGTGAATTTGTCATAAACATTCTTGGTCCAGGTTGATTCATTGAGGGTGACATTGCTGGTGGCATACCTTGAGGTCGATATGCATTTGGTGGTGGTGGTCCACCCGGACCGGTATGACCCATTGGATTTGGTGGTAATCGAGTACCTGGTGATGTCATACGTAAACCTAAATTTCAAAATTTAGTTTTTCTTAAACATAAAACAAAAGAACATGTATAGTTACCATTTCGACCGGTATCCATTTGTGGTGGCATTAAAGCTCCACCGTTTGGTCCACCCTACATATAAAAAAAATCAATAAGATAATTTAACTCTTTTTTTGGTGTCCTTACTGAATAATCTGGTTGAGAAGGCATACGAACAAGTGAACGTGAAGGTGCATTTGGATAACGTGGATACTAAAAAGAATTGTTGTTTTTTTTATCAAAAAAAAAAATGAATATCTAAATCCTACTTGATTCATCATTTGTTGTCCTGGTGGCTATAAAAAGTAATAATAAATAATTCATTTTTTTTTAAATAATTAATTATTTACTGCAAAAAATGGTACATTTGGATTATGCATTCCTTCACCGACATTCATTGGCATTGGAGGTGGAGCATTAGGATTTGGATTTGGCTAAAAAAGAAAAACAATAATAAACTAAAAACAAAATTCAATAGAATCATTTTTTGTACTTGAGGAGGAATGCCATTAGGAGCATAATTGGAATTAATAAAACCCTAACAAAAAAATAAAATAAAATTTAATTAATAAATCAAAATAAAATAAAATTTA